GAGAGAGTTGTCATTCTGACCAGTAAGCCTGCTAAATACAATTCTATAAGCTTCAGACTTGACACAGCAGATAAGTTTGTCTCCCCTGACATGACTATATTAATCCACCAAATCAATTTACTTAAGGTTAAGCTGTGTTGTGGAGTAATGCGGCCATGATTTAACTGAGCTTACAAGATCTTTCAAGCCTGAGTCACTTCTCTACATGTAATGCAGCTCTCAGTACTGAATCATGAGCTCTATGTTGACCTATTGCAATTACGTAAGAAGTCTTGTTAGGTTTTTAGGGCCATGATGCTGTAACATCAGAAAGAATTTAAGGAGAATAAATTCAAGTCACGTTAGAAAATCAGAATCATGAAGTAAAACAGTAAAAACACTTGGCTAGATTCTATAAGCATGATTTTCTTACTTTAATGTTTATAAAATTCTTTCGGTTGTCTAAGGTTTTTCCTTTAGAAATGTATTTATAAAAATAACATATTTTAGAAAAACGTTTAAAAATAGATGCTAGTGCTGCAGTTAGTAGGCTGAACATTAAATAAAACTATAGAAGAACAATAACAGACTTAAATTATTCTACATGCAATGAAATCTAAATATAGCACACAAACCAGTATACAAAATAAGTCTCAACATGTTACTAAATTTAACAAAAATTTACAAAACTTTATTAAAATTTCTATAGGCATGTATAAGTTGTTGTCCATAGTAAGTTGTCAATTTATTTATACTCTCCTTTCCTTTCACTAAATCTATTCTTTTTCATTCGTTATTTTAAAACTTTTGTCCCTTTCTCTCACTATTTCACTTGGCATAATACCCTCTAGATCCATCCATATAATTTTACTTATATGTGAAATCTAAAGAGCAAAACAAACAAACAAACAAACAAATTCACAGACATGAAAAGCAGACTGATGATTGCCAGAGGGGTGAGGTTTGAAAGAGTTGCCAAAAAGGGTGAATGGATTAAAAAGTACAAATTAGTATTAAAAAAATAGTCATGGGAATGTGAGGTACATTATGGGAAATACAGTCAATGGTATTGTAATGGGTATATCCAGTGCCAGTGGGTACTTGAGATATGGAAGGGGGGGGGGGACTTTGTAATGTACCTGATTGTCTATCCACTATGCTGTACACTTTAAACTCCTACAAAGTAGTATTGAATGTAAACTGTAATTAAAAACTAACATTTAAACAAACTTCTGCCCCTTGCAGACTTTCCTCCAAGCTTACCATTGTTACCGCATTTTTATTTTCCCATATCTCTATTCAGAGATATCTCTTTCTGATCACCTCTCTTTGCTTTATTTCACCCTTACAAGTCATTCATTATCACAGATTAGTTCTTCCAGAGCCTGAATCATTCCTCTTTCCTCCCATTTCTCACTATTTACTCTTACTGGGGATAATTCCTGGCACCTATGTTGTTTTGGAGGCGACACCTGCGGGAAGATGTCAGCATTGATAAGATGTGGTGAATGAACACAATTCTTAACATTGGATTCCTTAGTGGAAGTGTGGGGATTTTAAGTACCTTTACTGTTCTTTCCTAATGTATTAAGAGTCTCAAAGAATAATTATCCATTAAAAAATAAGAAAATACTTGGCAAATCATGAAGTTGAATATCCCAGAGAAGCCCTGAATGCATTTTGGTCATTAAGAAAAGAAATCATGCCCTAGCCAATTTTGCTCAGTGGATAGAGCCTTGGCCTATGGACCGAAGGGTCCTGGTTCAATTCTGGCTAAGGGCACAAGGGCATGTACCTAGGTCTCAGGCTCCTCGCAGGCCTGGGCCCTGGTTAGAGCTCATGCAGGAGGCAACCAATTGATGTGTTTCTCTCACTTTGGTGTTTTTCTCTGTCTTTCCCTCTCTCTGAAAATCAATGAAAAAAAATTATTCTGTGGGGGTGGGACTTCCTCCTCCCTGCTGTCAGTTTCCACAGCTGTGATGAGGAAGCTGGGTTGACAGAGGGAGCCACGCCCTCCAAGCCGCCCTCTCTCTCACTCTGCTCTATGTCCAGCGGCCTCCTGCTCTGCCAAGTCCTCCAAACCTCCCGCTCTCTGCCTTCTCTCCTGCTCTGCTCTCTGCTGGTGAAGGTCCCGGGAGCCCACAGGCGTGGCTAGGCTCAGCCGGCCTCACCTCCCGGGCCAGCGATGGTCCTGGAAGCCCGTGGCTGCCTTTGCCTCCCAGGGCTCTTGACACCCACATATGCAAATTAACCTATCTTTGTCAGGTTAATTGCATACTCACTCCTGATTGGCTGGTGGGGGTAGCTTGTGGGTATCGTGGAGGGATGGTCAATTTGCATCTTTCTCTTTTATTAGTGTGTGTATGTGTGTGTGTATATACACACCCTTGGGTGAAGATTAAAAAAAAATGTCATTTCTGAATAATATAAGACTATGTCTTTCAAATGTTACAATGTACTTTTGTGTGGTCAATCAACAAGAGCTCAATATTTTCAAAAACTTGCACAATGTATGCTTTCTAATTTCTTAAACGGTCAATTAGGATTCAGAGATAGTGCATCTCAAGTAGGCCTAAGGAGAAGAAACAGTTTAATTAACAGATTGATCACCAAAAATCTAAAATAAGTCTAGATATTTCACATTAAAATTTTTTTTTTTGCTCATGTATGTTACATCTCTATGGAACTTTGGAGGTCTCATGTCTCTATGGAATCTCTCATGAGATCTAATTCTCAAAAATATATAACCATATTTCTAAAATTCAGGTTCTACAATAAGTATGTATATCTTTGAGTAGTTGCAAAATACATTTTGTCTCAGGATATTGGGCTCTTTAAATATGGATGAGCAATTTCCCTTTCAAGTAACTCAAACTAGGAGAGAGAGAGCAAGAATGAATGTCAAGGGCAACCAGCCTCCACTTCAGGAGCCTCCTCTTCAATCCTGGGCTTTGCTTTTCCCAGCCACGATGGTCAGGAGGGTGGAATGGGCTCCAGGAGCTTTTCCATTCATTCACATTTAAGAAAGATTATGTTTTCTAAGAGCCTGTCCTTCAGTTTATGATAATATTAGCTATTCTTTATTAGGTCCTTAGTATATGCCAAAAATATTAAAGCATTTCAACTACATTACTGGATTGGATTGGATTCCAATAGAGCAAACTTCTTCTGAGCAAAGTGCAATTATTTCTATTTTATAGATTTGGTAACTGAGATTTAAAAAGATTAAGTCACTTTTTCATGCTAGGAAGTAGAAACAACTGGGGTTTGTTTCATTTGTCTGACTTGAAATCTAATGTCCTCTCCCACTAAGTTGTGCTATGCAATATGGTGTACTGGAAATAGTGTTGTAAATTTAACATCTCCTTGAATAATTTTCTCAGCTTATATTTCCCCAATTGTTAAAAAGAGGTTAATGATAACTAAGCCTTTTTAACTCATAAGAATATTGTAAAAACAAATTTTAAAATGAAAATGTTTTATACGCTATACAGATCTATGTGAATGAAAACTAATCCAAAATTTAGACTTGTACATATCAAATATATATAAATGTCTATTGAATTTAATTTTATTGATTCTGCCTGGCTGGTGTGGCTCCATGTTGAGTGTTGACCTAATGAACCAGGAAGTCACGGTTTTATTCCAAGTCTGGGCACATGCCCAGGTTGTGGGCTCCATCCCCAGTGTGGGGCATGCAGGAGGCAGCCGATCAATGATTCTCTCTCATCATTAATGTTTCTATCTCTCTATATAAAATCAATAAAATATATTTAAAATTTTTATTGATTCTGTGGAGTAGGCACAGTGACCATTAAATTTTAGGTTATATAGTAAAGTTAATGTCTATGCTGAAAAATTAGGTGGATTAAATGACTTCTTGGCTGATGATTTCATACATGAGCTATGGTGTGATGCTTTTCTTACAAGACTCATTCTCATCCCCACTTCATGGCAAGTAACAAAAGTCATTTAACTGTACTAGAAAAACACTGTTTCTTAAGGCATCAAGAATAGAGTGCAGCTGAACCACATGAAGGTCAGAGAAATAGGAGATAGGAACTGTCAAACACCCTCTCTCTCTCTCTCTCTCTCTCTCTCTCTCTCTGTCTCTTTCTCTCATTCTGTTAGCTTCTGTATGGCTGATTTATTCTTCTGAGTCACTGAAGACTGGCCATTTCTGTTTCTCATTAACACATGGTTTAAAATAGAAACCTCTACTAGGTTTAACATCTCTTCAAGTTCAAGTTTCTAAGGCTGTGCCACCAGCATCTGGATCCCAAGTCCAAATTGTCTAGGGAGAGAATCAAATTGGTCTAGCCTGAGTCAATATCTACTCTTATTACAGGATCTCTTAACCTTCAGTTCTATTAACATTTTGTTCTAAATCATTATTCTTCATTCTGTGAGAATGGAATTAGGCTCTCCTGTACCTTGGTAGGATGCTATTAAAACACTGTCTAAAATATTATAGCTAGTATACTTATTTCAAACAGTAATCCAATCTTAAAGTCCTGCTTAAAATTCTTGTCAATACTTTGCCCTAAAATATTGTTTTTTATGAAATAAGTTAATTTAAGTCTACTCTGATATACTATGCTTCTTCTAACCTTTTTTCAAAGACCCAGATTGGATATCACACTGCTTTGCCCAGGAAATAGGGAAACAGGCACGTACATGCATTGCTCTTGGCAAAGGAAATTGCTACAAACTTTATAGAGAACAACATCTCCATGTTGGTGATTTCTATCAAATTTCTTATACACATATCCTTGATCCTGCAATGGCCACTTCTAGGAATTATCCCTACAAATAAATTCATGCACATATGCACGAAGTGAAAAAATCAAGGTGCATTGCAAAGCCTGCTAACCTTTGAGTGGAAGATGGGACAGATACATACACCACAAGGAAGCAAAAATTCATTTTCATGTTTCTTATCCCCAGACAGCTGAAAATCATCAATTATTAAAATGACTTGACCATTTCAAGCCTATGCTCTCTACTAGTTGAGCACTTACAAGTCTGGCAATGATTTTCTGTGGGTCCCCAGCATCGGCCGGTACAGGACTTATGGCAACGTCCACCTGCAGAAGAGGCAAAAACACATTCACATTATAACCTCTCATTCTTTGACTTTATCTCCCCTAATGAAATATTTTTGCTCCTTTATGAGGATTTTTTAGTCATACTAGAGTTGAAGCATAGCTCCTAAAACGTTTGCTTAAGTAACAAAACCTGAATGTCAAATGCATGTGACGTGAAAAACAATCTCTTCATATTCAAAATCTTCTCATCATTTTATAAAAAAGGAAATCAATGAGTTTATGCATTTTACCAGCTAGTAAGAAGGATTTACATTAAATACATTTTACTTTGATTACTGAACAGTTTTATGCTTATGACCTATTGTATTGGATATAATTTCTAAAGTGCATGGCTTACTGATACCAACAGTTATTAAGGATTAAGTCAACAGTTAAGTTCAAGTCTATGAAAACAAGAATATGTTCTTATAAACACATAACAAACTATCAGAATAAAAGGTTACATACATCATTTAGATTATCTTTAATTGTAGGAAATTGTCAAGAGGACTTGACCATCACTTGAACCTTGAGCTGGACCTGGGCAATTGGAACACCCTCACTTTGCCCCTGTCCTTGGAATGTACATCCTGGCTGATGTTCCCAAGCCAGCAGTTGTTACAAGGGTGTAGCCTAGAGAGAGTAGGTGTTGTTGAGACCATCTGGACTGAATACATGACAGAACCCATTAAGGCCTCTATATGAACTTTTAAGATTCTAGTGGGAGTGTGTGGAAGTCTACTCATCTTGTGGCCATCAAAGATAAGCTTCATGTATCAATTCCCTGGCTTATTAAACCTGCCACCTACAAATCTGGAGTTGCCTGCCTCTTTCTTCCATCTCTCCTTGCTCTCAGTGTACAGGGCCAATGTGTGAACCAGTATCTTAATATAAATTTTTAAAAATATATTTTTATTGATTGCAGAGAGGAAGCAAGAGGGAGAGAGAGATAGACACATCAATGATGAGAGATAATCATTAATCGGATGCCTCCTGCATGCCCCCTACTGGGGATAAAGCTTGTAACCTGGGCACATTCCCTGACTGGGAATTGAACTGGTAACCTCTTGGTTCTGGCTGGGCTTAATATATAAATTTTAAGCATTTAAACAGCTATTTTTTTTTGAAATCTTAATTTCATTATTTGATATCCTCCTCTAAAATTGTTATTGTTACTACCTTCATTTTCAAATAGCAGCCTTTATCTCCTGCAGTGGCATCTTCCTCTTAAAGACTATGCTACCATGGATATTTGCCTCAGCAAATACAGTTGTCCCACAGAGAAAGTCCCATAAGGACTCAACCAAAGAACATTAGCTAAAGCAATTGTACATAATGACTTTCTTTGAAGTTTGTTTCTGAATTTTATAGGCTCGCTCTACATTTTTGTTGGTACAAGGGTAAGGAGTGGGCTTATTTTTAGAATAAGTAGTAGACATGAAAAATGATTAAAGATGAAAGCTCTGTTAATGTTCTAATATTGACTGCAAGTGGGTATATGGCTAGTCAAGACTTTTATTATGACATGTTGCAAAAATTATGGAATAGGGTTCTATCAAATGTTTCCATCTTTTCTTGATCCACAGTTTTTAACTCTTCAACTTGGAAGTTCTTACACTAGGGCAGCTTCTCTCTCTTGCTCTCTCTCCTTATGATACTGAGTATGTGTATTAAGTTAAATGCTTTCACAGTTAAGGAACAGGTTCAGCAGACACACTTTTTAGACCGAACCTCAGACTGGCCTCATGATTGACCCTTCTGCAAGTGAACAATACTAATCAAGTTAATACAACACTTAGACTCAACTCCAGTCACCTTCTTAAAAGTGCCAGGATCCAGAGTTTATTTAAAGCAATTCTGTTTGTGAAGCGCTGCTGCTGACATCACCAGCGTATAATATCCTGTCACTGGGCCATCTGTTTATTTAGATCTAAACACATTATAACTACATAATCAAGCTCATTCTAGCTGACAGGAAAAGGACTCCATCTGGCCTGAACAATATAACTTTAATCAGTGATAACGATAATTATTATTAAAAACCTACTGGAGTTCTTTCGTACAAAGCTAATAAATCCAAATTGATTTATACCAGCGGAAATTAGAAAGTTCTGTGAAATAAAATGGGAAGCAGTAAAAACTTTTCTTTTTTTGTATAAACTTATTTTATGAGAAAGCAGCTAATGTTAATGTTCTGGTATTTCTTCAGATGTGTTAAAATCCTTTAAATCGACCCATTAAGTGGTCTGTTAACCAAAACTATCTGAAGCAGAGGATGATCTCCCATTTACTCTGACTTGACGAATTGTGTTTGGGGCTAATAAAATATATAACTTCATTCATTGTATCCAGAGTACTCTCTGTAGCTGGGGGAAAAAGCTTAGTAACATTAGACATTTTAATACTTTCAGTGTTCCTCTTTTATTGGATTACATATATTTTTAAATATTGTTTTATTGATTTTGGAGAGGAATGGAGAGGGAGAGAAAGATAGAAATATCAATGATGAGAGAGAATCATTGATCAGCTGCCTCCTGCACGCCCCACACTGGGGATGGAGCCTGCAACCAGGGCATGTGCCCTGACTGGGAATCGAACTGTGACCTCCTGGTTCATAGGTTGATACTCAACCCCTGAGCCATGCTGGCTGGGCAGGATTACATTTTTTTTAATTACTACCCCAAGACCTACTCCTAGATGCAAGAAGAAAAGGACTATGAATATACATTTTGAATTTGCTTATGGTCCTTCAGAAAATATTATGCAATATCTACCTAATTGGGAACAAGTAATATAGTGTCCTTCCCCCACCTCACCCCCACCCCCACCTCACCATCCACACACAAAGTTTAAATAGTGTAACCTTGACTGCCTACGTGCCACTACAAGACTTTGTTGGGCAGTTTTCATTTTTCATTAATATTTAAACATAAATATCTTTTACTGCTATAAAAGGAAGCCAACAATTGCTTCTCTTCTGTGATTTTACTCTATCTTATTTATATTCTCTCCACCCCTTTGGCAAACCCAAAGGAGGTGATCACATCTCAGCATTCTTTTCCCAAAATGTACTGCGGAACCATGAATTGAATGCGCTTCTATAAATGGTTGCTCGTTCTGCCCTGCCCTTCATGTCATTATCTCTAGAGCTTTGTCCCTGTAGAATCTGCCCAGGCGTTCAGTTCAGCATTTGTCTTCCAAACTGTGTGATACATGGCACGTGTGCTAATTCTATTTTCACTGAGCTTTTGCAATTAAGTAAATGTCAAAATATTTGATCAAAATCTCCAACTGGAAATATTTTTGAATTAATGCATTTGCCACACTTTCATGCCTGCAACCTTGGTTTGATTCTTGTATACAATTGGGTAATGTGGTTTTATGGACTATTAAGTTTACTATGTTTTAAATTCTGTTTTAGCTTTTAGTTCCAAACATTTCTGCTACACAAAAGTGTCAAAAAATGGGAGGTTAGAAAAAGGGTTTCCTTAGTAATTATCTATCTAACATTAGGAAAAATAAAAACAAAAACACAAAACCTATAAAATTTTTTCTTACCTTCCTCCATCCTCCTATCCATACGTATTTCTTGAGTACCTTCCACGTTTGTATATTAAGAACTCTGTTAAGTAATACTTAACATAGGCTGAAATGGGCATGGTTACTCCACTAATAGAGTTTAGAATTAATTCAGCATTATTTTGAAGGGAAAATTTTTTGACTGCTCTGCATTCAATATTCACTATCTATGGATTTAAGGAAAGAAGCCAGTAAATCTGAATGCTTCACAGACTCCTAGCTCTGGAAAGAAGAGAAGGACAAAGCCAGGTTGAGTCTGGGCATTTCCAATGTAATGCCTGGTGGCTCAGAAGTCTGCTGCATTCCTTAGGTAATGATTTATCCATGTGACATCTATAGTGAAATCAGCTCAGAGCATTTCAGTTCAGAGGATAAGTCCAACCTCTGGAGGGTCCCTTGTGTGTCTCCTAACAAAAAGAGAAATACTTTAACTATTGCTGAATATCTTATGGAGAACTTGTCCTCTATTCTCAGATACACAGTGCTTCAGGAGGCCTGATTTCATGAGGGGAATAAATCATATACACCACTAATAATTTAATGTGAATCAGTCTTATAAACTACTTCTCCAGTAGTACATTTTTAAAAAATATATGTATATTTTAATTGATTTCAGAGAGAAAGGGAGAGGGAGAGAGAGAAACATCAATGATAGGAGAGAATCATTGATCAGCTGCCTCCAGTGCCCGGACCGGGAATTGAATCGTGACCTCCTGGTTCATAGGTCAATCCTCAACCACTGAACCTCACTGGCCGGGCTCTAGTAGTACATTTTTAAGACGAGGAAAGCAAAAAAGAGGGATTAGTCAGATACTAGCCTCTGTAAATAGGAGACATGTTTTGGAGCACTAACACTTTGCCAGTGCTATGCAAATCTGCCTCTTTCCAAATCCAAGTCAAATTATTTTCTATTGTTTATTGCAATAATTCTTTTAAAACTATGAGAGAAAATATGCCGATTAAAAATAAGAATCTGACTGTTCAATACAGCTGTTAGTGATAGCAAACATTTGAATTAACATTTCCATCTCCTGCCATTCTGGCTCAATCGGAGAGGTAAAATGTAAAATAAAAGTTATAAACAAATATTTCTGCAACTTTAGCAACCATTGAAATCTTTTAAAATAAGTGTGGTTTATATGCACATCAGCATTATTTTAATTCACAGCCAATCAGCTCTGCTTTGACAGTGCATTATTCATCGTAGAAGTTAGCAATATGACTAAAGTCATCTTTTACGCTTGTCCAGCAGATGTTACTAAAAATGTAGCCTTTGCATTCTTTTTTTAGGAAGTAGAGTCCCTGAGCCACTTTGATATTTATATGAGTCATAAATCCATGCTAAAAGTTTTGCTTGTTTGTGGAACTGACAGCAGAGATGGGATTTAATTGTACCTCTGGATTGCTTTCTGCAAGTAATA